CAGTTAACAATGTTCTTATAACTATTGAGGATGAGAAAAATAGAGACACTATTCCAGATGAATTCTCTGTCATCTTTACAGAATATGATGATAGTAGAAAAGAATTATTACTATTTATTTTTGGGATACAATGGCAATATTGTGCAGGATGGGAACCCTTAGTGAAGGGGAATTTAAGGCAAGCTTAAATGAAAAGACTATCACCATCCTCCTATCAGTTCACAAATCCCAACGTAATATTTTCACTATAGAAAAAGAGCTAGAGCAGGACTTAAAAAAAAGTGTGTAAACTGCATGAACTATGAGGATATAGCAATTCGTATGAGAGAGCTTGAAAAGGCATTATTTTCTAGCATTCAATCGAATTTGGAAATTATAGGATATTATAATAGTTTGTACAACTGAATTGAATAGGATGAATAACTATTTGGAAGTAAGAGTACGACCAGATGCTCTAATTTTTTCTATATCATTATTAGTTTTCTTATACAAATCCAAGACATCTTCAGAAGATTCAGTAGGTGAAATAGAATCAGAGGTGCGAACAGCCTTAGTTCTCGATTTTTTCCTTCAGTTTTTTTCGCTTTACTATCTGAAATATCATTCTCTTCTAAAGCGCTAATTTTAGTATCATGTATTTTATTTTCTAGTGCTGTGAAGGCAGAATCAAATTTATTTTGAAATTCTTCCTTCGGTCTTTTAGTTTAGCGTGATCTCTTCAGGATCCGCTCCTCATTCTGTTTATCTATAATGTTCATGTTTGAAATGACCACTAAATCATTCTATTGAATTCTGTTTAACTCCTATCCTCTTCAAATTCGATATAAGCGACTATTCGATATATTATATTTTTTACTTAGCTAAACTAAAGGTTTGGACTTCATATCACAGTATTGCATAATGTCTTTATAATCTGCGGGAAACAAGTAACTAGCCTTAGAACTAATATGTGTTTTAAGCTGAGGTGTGATTATATTAGTAGTTAATTGCTAGAGATTTTTTTTTCACTATAAATAAATGTACAAAAAATATCAGTAATACTGGTATTATGTTAGTATCAGTAATACAGTATTATCAGTAGTATTAGTAGTATCGATAGTATGCTAGTATCAGTAATATGGTAGTATTAGTAGTATCAGTAATATTAGTAATATTAGTAATATTAGTATTAGTAGTATGATAGTATTGATAATATTGTAGTAACAGTAATATTAGTAGTATCAGTAGTATCGATAGTATTCATAAAAAATAAAGTGTTTTCAGAATCGCTCATAATTTTTAGTATACTAATGACTAGGCTGAAAAAAATTATAACTAATGTGTATACTTTAAAAGATATTGAAGATAAAGGGCAGTTAGAGGTTTATTAAATAAACAAATCCCTCCAGGTCATCAGCTTGGTAATATCTGTGAATCAGAACTTGAGAAAGCATTGCACGATAGCATCAAAACTGTTTCTGATACTGCTAATGAATATAAAGACCTGCAGGGTGTATATTTAGAGTGAGTGAAGGATTTTAATTGTATCTGTTCAGGTTTTAACAATAAGTTAGTCAGCTGAATACAGCTAATAGTGAGCTTGAAGTCAAATATACTGCTGAAATCAAATCGCTCAAATCTTTTATTAAAACACTAAAAAGAGAGCTAGCTTTAGCTCAAAAAGTTTTGTCTGCTGACAAGATCAAGATTCTCTCTCTTGAAGCTAAAATATGAGAATTGAAAGGTAAGTTAGATGACTTGGAATTAGAACAGGTGTTTTATAATTCAGATGTAATGGGAGGAATGAAAGAAGAGCTAGCCCAAATAAATTTATCTGACCCTAAAGAGATCAATTCTTTCAGGCTTGCATTAGAATGAGCGAATGAAAACCTTAGTTCAAAAAAATATGAAATAGAATGTATGGAAAAAGAGATAGAGTCATCAGATAGTATATATAAACGGAAAATAGATATTCAGTTTTCAGGGTGATTAAAATTGATAGATAAAAATAGGTCCCTCAAGGATCAGTTAGCATTAAAGAAAGAGTTGAGAGGCGTTTCGTATAATGAGATAGCAGATCTCTCTAAGCTCCCATCTCTACCTATGAATAATTCATTGCAAAAGCTATCAGGTTAGGTCAGTGATGATTTAAGACCCTCGTCTATGAGCGTGGTCTTGAAGATAAAGTTATGGAACTTGATAAAAGTTTTACTAGAGAAAATATATTAGAGGCTTTGCAAGAGCTATTACCCCAGAATGAGGCGAAAAGCCAGACAGATACCCTACCTAATCAATCTGTTCATAGTCAACCAGCACATTCTGAAAAGTATATTTTGAGGGAAGAAGTTGCAAAGCAATTGGGTAATGCAGAAGTGATACCATCACCTCAAGTAATGCCTCTAATATCAGTGATTGTTCCTGCTGTTAGGAGTTCTCTAATGTTGCCGATGGTATTATATTCTATACTTGTTTTTCTACTGATTGTGATTATATAATTCATATTCAGAAAATAGTGAAATTCACAAAAAAAAGTAATCAATATTCTACCCCTTTTTTCTCACTAGATTCGAAAAAAAAGTTAGGCTTTCTCCTGCAGAAGCCTTTCTCAATCATAGATTTTGGGATAATCTCTCGCAGTCCTTGGACAAAAAAGGGGTGTAAGCTAATATGAATCAGTCTCACCAGGACCATCTATTTCAGATTACATACTTGCATAATATAGTATTAGTATGTTCATATTCAAAAATAAAATAAAAATCATATGATTTTGGTAGGGGAAATGTTACGTAAAAATAAAGTCAATGGGAAGATATAACGAGCATCAAGCAGTTTATTTCTAGTAGGTGATTAATTTTCCAGAACTATCTAGTTAGCTATATTAACCTTATTTTTTTTCTCCACCGTCTTCGAGAAGATCAATAATGATGATAAGGTTCTCAATCACTGTATGAAGGATATAATCTTAAAACTTTCAAATGTGAAAATCATGACTGACGTTAACAAAGTGATACACTATAAATTTATTTCATTGATTCTCCATGCATCTATCGCTATAGCTAAAAAACTTATCTCTCAAAATATATTTATAGTGTTTCAAAAGGATGTTTTCAGTGAGAATGCAACAGGCCGGGTGGACTATGCAATCAAAAGTCTAGAAGATTTTCTTTGCATTACTGAAGAAAAACCATGAAATATTAAGATTAGATATGCGTAGGTAGGTCTACTATTCACATTTTCACTTGTTTGCATAGCAAACGATATTAATGATAGTTTATCTCTTAAAATCTGACGCAACTTGAAAGTGCATTCCAGACCAATAAAAAGAAACGAACTTTAGATCAAGCATTTGAGAATGACTATTTCGACTATATCTATGATATTGTGATTACAGGTACAGAGTGGCATTTTATCATATATATTCCAGATGGTATCTTCTTCACAAGCGGTAGCGAGTATCAGATTAATCTTACAAAGTCCACAGTTAAATATAATCCTGAATTACTTCAAAGCAATGTGAAAAAGGTAATCAGCATAATTGTAAGGTTATTGAAGGATCAGGTTAGTGTAGATAGTTCCCCAACTAGCAAGAGGGCTAGGATCAAAAATTTATCAAAAAATAATATGTATTACAGGCAAAATTCTGAACATTTGTATTTATTTTTGCATGTATTAATAAAAATTTTCTTGGTATTTTTCTGAGACCGTGCGGTCCCAGAAATCTAGTGACTTTATAACCTATTTCTCAATGACACAGTTTCTATATAATTATATATACTAACTATTTTTTGAATATTTCACTTCTTATATAAAATTTATCAATAATAACATCTGAGTTTGAAGTATTAAAACAGCATATCGTTGAACTTAAGGCTAAGAATGCTAAGCTTGAGGCTGAAAAAGCTGAACTTTTAAAGCGGATTATGGAGGAGAATACTAGACGAGATGTTAGAGTTGAGGAACTGGAGCAAAAAAATAAGGAGCTTGAGACTAGACTTGCGATAGTAAAATAGGTTTTCTTACTAGTGAAAGAGTAGACGTATAATGATAATTCTTCTAACAATAGTATATTTAACTTTAATTCAGTTACAGAGTATCATGAGAAACAATTGGTGGATGTGAAAACAGATAATTCCTTTCCTGAAGAGATTTGCTATAATAAACAAGAACTGGTAGTAACAATATCTATCAACTCTGCGAAACGCCTTAACGGCAAATTGTTGGAAGAGAAAGAGATGGATAATTTCTTGCATAAGGCTGATAAGAAAATCATTAGTAATGGAATAAGGTAATGCAATAAGGAGAAGAAACTTAAAAAAGCAGAGCAGGCATCTCTCAACCAAGATCAAGAATCTGATAGAGGGTTAACTGTAAATAATTGCACCTCTAGTACTTCTTCAGAAAAATCTATGAGTAAAAAAGATAGAAAGAGGTTGATTCAAAAAATATCTTGCAACCTTGATTCTTCAGAAATTTTGTTTACCCTGAGTAAGGAAATTATGTAACTGAAATTTTGTTTACCTTGGGTAGGGAAAATATTGTTTGTTTATATCAAAGAGTCTGTGATGCAGAAGGTGTCGCAATGAAAATTAATCAATAAGAGATACTAAGCATATATTTATTTGCTAAAGAGTTCTTAATTATGGTTAAGGACATTATGGTCAATGGTAAAGTCAGCGAGAAAAAGGCAAAAGGCCAATTATATGATTTTATTATACAACAACTTCCTGATATAAAGTGAAATAATTTATATATGCAAACTTATAGAGCTATAAAAATCTTTAATTTATTCAAAAAAATAGGGATAGATAAGATTTGATGTATTACAACATATAACGTGAATTCTATTTCAAAACTTAGCAAAGAAGAACTCCAAGAAGCTATTAAGACTTTTTCCAATAATACTAATTCAAATTGCCTGGTCTTAGAAAGACCCCTTCGGTAACAGACTTCAGAAATTTCGTTTACCTCAGGTAAGAAAAATCATATGACTGAAATTTCTAAGACTGGTGAGTCTGAAGTAAATGCATTATCTACATCCGTATTCAACTCTTCTAGCGAGTGCCAAGCTGAAAGAAAATTACCTGATATAAAGATAATCACATCAATCACGTCTCAAACAAGTGTACCATTCACATTTTCCTTTAGACTTCCGATTTCTATTTTACCTGATGATTCAGAAGAGAAGCGAAAATATATAATTAGGTTAATACTAGAGCAGTTTCCTTCTCCATATTTAAGCGATAGTAGTGAACGTAGTGAGCGATTTGATCTTAATAGTTTAACACTCTGCTCACTATGTAATGGAGATCACAAAGAAGAAAGTTTATGGAATAATATAAGAGATGAATGGGGTGATAGTGACTATTGCAGAGAATGAACTTATCGTATCAAATGCAAGCATCCTCGTAATCATAGAACCCCAATAGTATCTGTAAAAGCATAAAGAGCAAAAACTTCATTAAGTAAAATCGATCATCTGATGTTCTGGCAGTAGAATTATTTTTTTTGTTTCTTCGAGATTTTGAATTCACTATTTTAAGATTAAGAGTATGGTTCGTAAAAAGAATAAGAGACATAATCAATCCAGACAATCGGCAACTTCATCATCAGCCAATGAGATCCAGTTCAGAAGCCTCACAGTAACGAATATGGAATTACAAGAACTTATTCGTCAAGGTCTAGTAGTTGATGAAGTTCACGAAGTATTATCATATGATCGAAAAAATATGCTTTGGGTTGGTAACTTTGTTCGTCATTCGATCGAGCTTGAAAAACAAAGTAAGGATTTAAGAGAAAAAGCATACCACGCTTTAATGAGAGAACTCTTTAATATGAAGATGTTTCGTGATGCATCTAGTCAAGACGGACTCATCTTCAAAGCAGAATATTATAGACATAAAATAGACAATCACATAATGGATTTCGTCACTTAAATGGAAGAAGGCAAAAAAGGTTGGTTAAGCCGTGGATCAGTTGCGACATTACACCAAGTGACAACTACGGAAAGAGTGGTAGATTTGCTTAATGATGCCGAAAATAAAGGTCCTGAAACTCGTGAACAAATAATCATTTTCTAAAAAAATATATTCTTTCAAAAACACATGAGGGTGATGTCCTTAATTCCCAATAATACACTGCTACGCAGATCTGCAGAATATGCTATGTGCAGTAGAGTAACTTTATCATGTGGGATCGATCACCTGAAATGCGCAGATATGCTATTTTTGTAACAATGAAGCCAGAGCCATGATCTTATGAAATGCCGTCATATTTTTGCAAATCTATGGGGGATTAGATTGTAGGACTAGATCAATAAAAAAAATTAATATTCGCCTTTTTTCCGGAAAGTTCTGGCACAATACACATTATGAATCTTTGAATTAGCAGATCCCTTTGGGACCGCATTACGCAAGTCAATCCGACGTCCCTGATGTTAGAATGGGAGGGTCCTAAAGGGACCAGATAAGAATGGGAATTGAGCGTCTTGATCTACCGATTTACAGATCTCGATCTTATGAAATGTAATAGGGGACCAGGGGTACTATAGCATCATCCATTCTACATAATAAAACAAAATTCCTTTTCTGGCCATTGATAGATTTGTGAATAGTAATGAAAGCAATGTGTAATTACGCGCATTGATCAGATTTTCGTGATGTGATCATATTAACGTAATTTTCCCAAAGTGTATTCCAAAATTGATCCCGTAAATTATATAAAAAGATGATGACCTGGTTAGTGAATCCTTTTATCCGCCTCATGCAAGTAAAATAAAATCAAATAAAACTAATAAAACCAATCTAACTTACCATTATTTGCATCATTGATATTAACAATCGTATTTTCCGCAAAGTAATAATAAAGTAAGTTGTTTATTACTCGGCTAGCTTCTTGAGACATGTCATCACGATGTTAATTGATTTTCCCGCCTCCACAGATGTCCCAAAACAAACCGGACATATTACTCTTCTTGTTATATATCGTCATTTTGATCTTCATCTTTGACTATCATCACGCGTATAATAGGCGCAGTGAAATTATTCACATGAATCTCATCACATGCAACGGCACAACAAAAGTCTGGCGCAGTGCATCAAAAAATTTAAACATCTTCACGTGCCGAATTCTTTAAAACTTTTAGTATCGTAACGGCGATAACGCAGAAAAAATTAAGCAATAAATATCTTGTGTATGAGGCGGAATGGAATTATGTGAAAATGAATCGTGATGGTAAGTGTAAATCGTTATTGTATTATTTTTTTTTACCTCAGTTGCTAATACTTTAGTAATTATACTATAGGTTCGAAATTTCTTAATCTCAGAGAAGTTCTCTTTCGAGAAATAATGTTTTGTGTGTTTGGGAGAGATATAGATAGACAAAAATTCTGTAAATATGGATGGGATAATTTATTTCGGAAATCTAGTATATTAAAAGGGTGTGGGAGTGAGAATCACGTAATTAGCAATAAAAAGTGTGGACATCTGCACTGGAGAAATATATTGATACCGTCCTCGATGGAAATGAGGAAACTTTTAAAAATAAAGCTCAGGACAAATCATCGGACTTTGAAGATAAACTTTTTCGATTATAATGCGAAAAAGTTTTCATCGATTTGTAAGTAGACATTAATATCTATTAATTTTATCACTTTTATCGCTGACAATTCTTTTCCTTTTAGCTACCACCTCGTGGACGTTAATCCTACAATGAACAGAAAAATTGGTGAGCGTAAGCACATAGTGTATCAGGTTTCTTCGTTATTTAAATTCTATGAGAGAACGTTTTCCTCAATTGAATTCGATTGGATCGAATCGCACGCTCGCACCGCAAAGATTATGAAGTCTTCTATAAACTCCGGAATTGTTCGAGTAGACGTTAAGGGAACAAGAATTTCCGATGGCTTTGACGTATTTCACATGGAGGTCGTGGGTCCTCCATGTAATGCAACTGAGAAACATACTATGGGTGACGCGAAGGAAACCATGCGAACGGATATTCTAAATTTGATCACGGTACTACGAAATCACCTTGATTGTAGCATAAGTCTTGCAACAAAAATTAGGGTGTATAGTATCCAATCTATCAGTGAGTAGAATGCGTTATTATGTTTGCGTTAGTGATTGCATTTAACTGATACTTTGATTCTATCTTTTCAGATGCTCGATTAACTCTATATGCATTAAGTATGCTTTCCGATGGCCGTTTCCTCGTAACTGAACTTGCCTCTGCCGTTATGCCTTTCAGCTTTAATGGCCGAGATCAATACAAACTCATCCTTAGAATGATGGCTATCTTTCACGTATGTACTTAAATTGGTTGCCTGGTATATTTCCAATATATCCACTCATACAGTGATATATTGATATCTTTCTGTAGGATGAAATCACAAAACAGGAGAAATTAATGAAAAATATTAATCGGTCTGTACTTCAGCCAAAGGAAACGACGGTCCGTCATGTATTAAAGATTCCCGAATTATAATAATACTGAATTTCATTATATTTTTTTGTATCAAGTTATATCTGTTGTGTATTTTCAAATTCATTTTTCAAAGCATGTTACAGAAGTCAATTTATTAATATTATCACTTGATATTACAAGCTCTTTAATTCGAAGTATAATCTGCTATGACCTATAATGTATATCACGACTTTTTACTTTACCCACTCATCCATGCCGGTCATCAAGGACGGTGGATGATGCCTGGAAGTGCGAAGAGGAGATATCATGCCGGTCATCAATGACGGTGACCTCCTCAACGCAGTCCTGTTTGCCGGTTTGCCATCAAGGGTGATCGGTCAGCAGAGGTGCGACTAGAAAGGCCTCACTTACCCTCAGGTGGTGAACTTTCTACTCGTAAAGGTAGGCCACCAAGCTTCGTGTCGGTCATCAGACGGCGAACTGCTGGAAACTGGTGATGGTTGACATCCTCTGGTTCAACTGGATCCGGGTTTACTTATATTTTTCGTAATATTATTCTTTTGCCTTTGCTTAACAAGTTTTAATAACTACTATATGTTATTTGATTATTATGCAAAATTATTAGCCGAAGCAACATCAAAATCGGATGGTTTATTTATAATGTCCACATAACTCATCATTCTCATGCAACTCGAAAGTTCCTGCCACACAGAAAAAGGAAAGCTTCTGAAGCTTTGATGACGAGTTCGACTACCTTTATGGAATCATCATGACAGGTTAGTTCTACACTACATGAGCTGGAGGTGTGAGACGATTCTAATTTAACTTTTTTCTATGATGCTACATAGCTACGGACTGGTACTTCCTCATGTATACACCGGAAAGAATTTATTGCTCGAAAGGCGACTATCACATAGTACTTACCGAAAGATGATGCGGAACTTTGCCGGGGTGTTAAAAAGGTTATGGAGGTGATTGTTGGCTTGTTTGAAGGATAGGGTAGAGGTTGATGACTCTCCGAGATCTAGAACGAAAAAATATATCAAGGAATGATTTTGTTAGCTCTACTATCCTTTCATGTATATTAACATAGACGTCATGTATCCTGGGCAAGGTCCCGATCATTGTATTTATTTTTTATTTCTGTAAATAAAGTTCGTCTTTACATTCGCAACGTAACATTGAATAATTCACATTTTTGTATAAAATTTTATTGATCATGTCAAGCACTCAATCCATTGATTCATTAAGAGAATTAAATGCCAAGCTCTTAGCTGAGATTGGCGAACTTAGAAAGAAGTTTCTGCCTAGAAGAATTATTGGGCGAATTTCATTTCTTCGTTTCTTTTTTTTCGAACCACGTGGGTGGCTTAGAAACTTCATCATGTGGAACGATCACCTGAAATGCGCAGAAGATATTCGGTAAAATTCTATTTCTCTTTTTTCCGATCCCGCATCAAAATCAGAAAATGGGAGAATTTCGTCATACGAAGCAGTTTTTCACTAATCGAAAATAAAAATTGTACGATTAGAATCTAGATCACCAGATAAACGGAGGATTTTTATTTAGCTTATTGGGATTAGCGCATTAAATTACCAACATTCATAAATTGGGCTATATTATTCTACTGTACATGACGAAGGAAACATAACTAAGGTTATAAGGGAAAGGGTCTGTCGATTCTTAATGGTGTTAACAATAAAAATCATATGTTGTGAAGAGTTGAAAACTTTACAATCTCTGAGATCTATATGAGTTAGTTTACTATGTGTCTTGCAAAGTGTTTATTATACCAAAAAGGATAATCCCCTATTTCCTATTGTCTGCAGAAATTAAGCATATTATTAGTTAGTGCTTTAGTGATTACAAAGGAAACAAGTATGAATGGGAAAATCTTTCACCAAATGTAGAATGTGCGTGGGTAAAGTGTGAAGAGGTTAGTAATTGAAATTGAATTATAAATATGGTACTTGAAATAATGGGCAATCCTTACAGAAATATGGCAAAAAGAAATTTAACCTGGTGCTTCTTTCATGAAGTAGAAAAAAATTCTGAAGCATTTCCCATTGATATTGACGAATCAGTGTCTGTCTTGGAACTTGGAAAGAAAATCAAAGAAAAAGTTAGAGAGTTAAAAAACGACATCTGTTCTGATATTGATGACAGTGATCTAGATTTACAGCTCTGGAAGGTTAATATCTCTAATAGCAATGTAGACAAGTTTTCGAGCCTTCGTCTACAAAATGATGAAAGTAAGGGTATAGAGAAACTTGAAGGAACAAACCTTATTAGTAAATATTGGGGTAATTTAGAAGAAGGATTTACTCATGTTATTGTTACCTCAAATTATTTAATTAATCAAAATTTGAGAGAATAAATTAAAGAATAACTGAAGACCTTAAGAATGTTCATTTAAGTTTTGAAGATAAGTAGTTTTATCATCGTTATGTTTTTGACTAAGATATGCTAACACAAAGCTTTATTTTTTAGAGGGAATGGATATTTTTGGTCAACTCTCCGAAATGCTATCCACATTAAAAAAAAATAAAAGTCATGCCGGTAAGACCTTTATCTAATTACAATAAAAATTACACCTTTTTTTCTTAACTTTTTTTGACTTCTTAATTCGTCCTTAACAGAGAACTCCATATTACAACTCGCATATAGTGAAAAAATCGTTAATGAAAGCAATGACATTTTATATAATAATATTAAGATTACCACTTTGAAAGTGGCAGAAGGATGGGCATACATTGAGTATGAAAACGAGTATATTACAAATATAATGAAATTTATCAAGAAAAAAGAGATAGTGAGTCATCGCTAACTTGAATAGTTAATGTATTGTCAATAACTCATAATCTCATATTATCTCGCAATTGTAAATAACATATCCTTTAGTGCCTGAATAACGTAAACTCTTTGCCATTGGCAATAGATCTTATCAGGATATATGTAAGATTCTGGGACCTAAATTACCACAAAGAGGAAGGTAAAAAAAAGTCGTAAAAAATAAATATTATCAGTTTTCTAACAGTAATTTAAGACTGTATTCAACACTAAAATTATTTCATCATTTGTATCTGAACCATATTTCCGATGTGGTACTTTTTTAATCGTCAAAAGTAAATGTATAAATTTTTGACTCTGTCTCTGTCTAATGTCATTATGTAGTAGTCTTCGACCTGTATTATGTATTTTTTCGATCAATAAAATAAAAAGCAATTAATTTATCAAATTCAGATATATAATGGGATGGGTTAGATTGTGAGAAGTGAAGTGAGCATATATGCCAATATATTCTTTTATTGTACCGAGATCATTTAGAACTTGATAAATAAATGCACAGTAACATTAAGAACATTTTAATATAACGTCACAGCTCAATAAATTCTTCTAAGTTGAAGATCACTACTCTAAACTACTTGGCTTAAAATAACAATCATCTTTTTGAGCCAAATAGAAATCAGTTTCATATTGATCTGGATTTATAAGATATATAGAATAAATAGGATATCACGTGATAGAAAACCTGTTAATAAAGTTAATAGGTTTGGTTTTCTGAACAACTACAGCACGCATTGATATTTATTAAATAACATTGGCTTCGACGTAAATACTGGTAGGTAATTTAGAGGTAAACAAAATAATATAACTCATCACTAGTAGATCCAAAAGGGATCGTATCACTAGAAAAAAAAGCTAGTGACAAAAGCTAATGACGCAGATGATAGGCTCTTTAGGAATTCTAGGCCAAAAGAAAGTCTTTTTGATAGGTATCACTGGTGTCACTAGTGTCACTAGAAAAAATCTAAGTCTCTTAACTTTTTATTTTTTATAGCATACATACATCACATATATATCATACATTCATCATATTATATTCCATATAGGTTGAGCATAGAAAAATTTCGATTTTTTCCTAGAATTTATTATTCTTTTATTAGTGACACTAGTGACACTAATCAAGAAAGAAATGAAATAGCTTAATAACCTCAAGAAGAATAACGAACATGTCACTAGTTCTGTCACTAGTTTCGTATATTAACTGGTAATACTAGTAATGCTCAAAAAATAGCATACTCATTATCTCGAATCCAGATTAAACTATGATCAGACCGGACAAAGACGCATGACTGGGAGATGGCTTTGGTCTTCTAGTTTCTTAGAGGATCATTACTCTACTTTTTCTTTCGCCTTTGTACATGAAATAGGTGGAAAGTTAATTACACCATAATGTTCTACTGATAAAGCGCGACTAACTTTATGTCTGAGAGCTAATTGACGTAAATGTTGCCTATAAGAATTGTTTTGTCCCTCATGTACATGGCAAGCATGATCTGCACCTATCTTTCTCAACATGTATGAAGTTATCTTATAATCTACTAGAAAACGGTTAATTGGGTTAATATCTGTAATGCCATTACTATTTTTAGTAGAAAGGGAAAACTAATTGGAATTGATTTCTGAATCCAAATCAGTAGCTCTTTAGTTTGATCTGGATTTTTTCCATTGAGAGGAAAGGACGGGATTTGGCCTCTGCTTCACCTTTATTTTTAGCGTAACTAGTACAGTATCAGGCGAATCTAGGATCATACCATTCCATGTGAGAGAATGCAGATTCATCACTAATGCAAAGGGAAGCAATTTCGGCTGAGCGCATGCAGAGTATTATCATAATATCTATCAGATTTTGCATAGTAGGGATTCTAAGATATCACACTGCTCTAGTCTTTTTTGTACCTTTTTCAAAAGGAAGAATGTGAGACAATCAAAACTATTTTTTTCATTAAATAAACGATATTGAGCCTGGATTTGATTAGATTCTTTGGTAATATGAGAACCTTAACAGCCTCTATTTTGAGAGGATCAGCCTCAAGAACACACAATTTTTTTCATAAAAGACTAAGACAGAAACTTCCTGCAATGACATTAGGAGCTGAAATAGCTAAACTATACGTAATTTCATTTATTTCTTCAAATAAATAGTCATTCTCGATGATTTGCTAAACAGTAATATCTATAGAGTTTCTATTCTCATTACCTCTTCCAGAAATACAAATAGGAATAAGGATCTCAGATTGTTTCTTATTAAGACTTAATTGTAGGAAATGTTATCTAGCATTGGAATGTGCCTTGCGATCTTTCACAGATTTGCTAATTTCTTCGGTATATTTTGATAGTTTTTCTAAAGAAGTTTTAGAAGAAAGATTATAATAATTAATGAAATATGTGGCAACTTTGGACATTTGGAAAGTAGATTATAGAAAAAGTAGATTATAATGAACTAAGAGTATAAGAAAAAAAATTCAATATAAAATTATTGCCGGCATTTAAGGGCAGAGTTTACTAACAAAGTATCCTTTAAACAGTTTGAAGATATATATTTCGTAGATGCCTCATTTTTGTACTTCTAGATAGCCTCTCATGCCTAATGATTATTCAGATTTCATTACTGTTTAAGGATAATTCCTACCCTTGCCTGACGCCTTTAGCAAGTGATGATTCGTCTAGTTATGCATAAATAATAGATGCATAGGTAACGCCTATCGCTCTTAATGTCTTAGATGTAATTTCATAAGGTTTTAAAAATTTGTTAAAGCAGGTAGTAGTACCACTGCGAATGGGAAGACACAAAGTTCTGGCTTTTATTGCATTTTGAATCCAAAGTAGTAATTCTTTAGCACGCTTTGGATCCTTTTCCATAGATAATAGTGGGTAAGGTTCTGGTTCCGATGGTCCCTTTACATAACCAATACAATACCAAGAATAATATGGCATATACTATAGCGAGGAAGAATCTTCATCTGGGTTATAATGTTTAATTTGTAAGGATGGTACTTCTGCTGGTCGTATGCTAAGCATAATAATTACATCAGCAAGATCTTGTAATGTAGGAATAGCACTTGTATCCATATTCTGGACCCTTTCTAATACTTTTTGTAAAGAAAAATGATCTGGAATGGCAGGAGTCTTAGACAAACTGATCATTTTTAATAATATTGTGTTGGCTAGGAGGAAATAAAGATTTAAAATAACAAATCAAAATATAATAGGCAAATACCTTACTTTATTGCAAAAGTATTAAGTGATTTTGGCCTCACCGCAGATACTTCTAATTTTCAAGCATGGCTAACCATAAAAGAGCAGTTAATCGATCAGAAGTTCGATGAAAATATTAATGCAGAAATCCAGAAATATCTTTTTTTGGTAAAGTATACTCCTACAGAAATCGATTTTATTCTTGATAGAGGAGAACAGGAAAAAATAACAGAAAAAATTCCAAGACGACATTCAAGAATGAAAGACTGGTGTCTAGTGTGTTCTACATTACCAATTATCAAAGGATGTAGCAAGATCCTACTCAAATATACTCTGAAAGTATTAACAAATTAGTTGGATATGTATGATACAGATATAGAGAAGTCAACATTGCAGGCTATTGCGGATATCATGGTTATGCTTTATATAGATGAAAAAGAGTTATATAATCTTAAAATAGTGGATGAGGAATTTCTGGGATATATGAATACAGAGATTAAGAATAAAGCCCCCCACAAATACTTTTCATTAGAGCTAGAATGGGAACAGGCTTAAGAATTATTGGAATGGATACAGAAAGCCTTACAAAATAACAATATTAATAAAGAAGATCTATCCAACCAATTATCGCGACAAAATATATACATAAGGGATTTATAAATAATAGGGGCAGAACTTGCTATTTTAGCGAACAATTATTCTAAAGAGCCTTATCGCAAAATGAAAAGAGCAGAAACGCTGAGACATGTATATACATTGCATAGAATAGATAGTTATCAAATTTTTATAGATAATTATGTTAAAAAACGTTTGATAGCACAGAAAGATAATTCATATAAATAGGAGGCTGAGAATCTGGATTCTAAATACTATAATATTGATTACGAGTTCAATAATAGAAAAGAAAAAAATGCATATTAAATGGCTTTAATGATTCTAGCATTAAGGCATTAACTACCTTGGATCGCATAGAAAGACCAAGTAACATATATTTATTATTATATGATACTAACTCCCTCGCTATTACACATCCAGAACGAAGTACTAGACATATAAGACAAGATCAATCTCCTAATAGTTAAGAGCACGATTCATCCAGATATTTCGAAAAATAAAAGATCCAGCTCTGAAAAGGTTAGTAGAAATTAGAAGAATTTCTGATCAAGGTTTATGTGTTGATCATCTTGATAATATTCCAGAAAGTTGCTCTATCAAGAAGATCCATTAGCCACATTCGAGAATGTTGAAGACCAAATTAGTGGCATTTATAGAAGTGAATTAGTGCGTTTAGGAGGCATTAAAATAAAAATAGTACTTATCGCTCATATGTATCAGATTATACAAGGAGGATATTTTAGATATCGAATTGATTAAGATATAACATTTCCAAGTGAAATCTTGGATATTATTCGCTAAGATAGAATAAACTAAACAGTCTTACGATAATACTATGAAATCTTAGATAAAATCGATGAAATGGAACGTAATCAACATTTGGGTTGGTTTTATGAATATGGAAAAAAAATATTTCTTGAAATAAGCGTTTATCAACCATTCTGAGGTAGATCACATTTGCTTTACTAAAAATATGGGCTAAGCCTCAGCTAGGGATAATTAACTCACAAAATTTTCAGTAGACTTATTTTTTCATTAAACTTAATAATATAACTTAAAAACTGATATCAATTTTACATCTTCCACAGATATATAATATTATAAATCATAAGAAAAGTTAGGACAAAATTCTCGTTAGATTTATTTAAAAATTATGCAATTTAATAAGCTAGCTTGTATAGAAGCCATTCTTGTTTATAGTAAAATTCGTTAGATTTAAAAGGTCACATGATTTTTTCAATATGCTAATTTATGCGCAAACCCTTGTAGAAGCAATTCTTAATTAAGGAAAAGTTAGGACAAAAACTGTTAGACTTATTTTGGTTAAACTTAATTTTTCATTAAACTTATTTATGAGGTAATAAGGACCGTTAGACTTATTTTCGTTAGACTTAAATAATTAATATGCAATTTAATAAGGAAAATCATGCAAAATCAATTCCTGATATACATTATTTAGTTAAACTTAATAAATATAACCGAAAAATGATATAGAAATTAAGATTCTAGAGCTTTTAAAAGCCTTTCTAATATAATAAAAATCGTAAAAAAATTGATATTGATTTTACATCTCCCACAGATACACAATGTTATGGAGGTATAGACATTCTGTCCTCAAACTCCCATAATGACATTGTATACTTCTGCATCATATCATCTTTTCTGCTCCTAGACTATATTCTAATGCAGATTATTTTCTTTTTGATAAATTTACCTTATTGCTCTTTTTAATTGATCTATCAGAATATCTCTAGTTATTGCTTTATTATTCAGATAACTATCTATAGTATTTGCTAGCTTAGTAATTGTGGCCATATTATCATCAGAATTATACAAGTCTAGAGAATTATCCTGCTCTAAAGAATTTTTTTGTGATAAGATAGTCTTGATCTGGCATCGCAATTTGTCTAACTTCTTCTTAGATTCTACTAATCGCTTTTCTAAGCTAGAAATACACCTATCCTTATCTCATATATTCTTTCTAGCTTAATATAACTGATTTTTTAGGCTAGAGAGTTCGAACTTCAGCTCTATTATCTTTTTCTTCAAAGCATTCTCAAACTGTTCTATTTCTTTATTAAGATCCTAGATTTCTTGCTTATATCAGGCATATTCTTGTTCTAGTTGATTAATTTGTCTTTTATTCTGATAATTAATTTCTACTTCTGATTGTAATGCATCTCAAAAATATGAGTTATCTTCTTCTAGTTCAGCTTTATATTCTTCACATGTTCTTTCTGCTTTGGATGAGATCTGCAGAATGACATTCTTTTTTTTCATGATTATAAAAGAGAATGGGAGAAACAGTTATTTATATTGATCTTCAAAAAATATGAAAGCTAGATCAACATCTTGCTTTGCAAAAACTATATTATTATCCTGAAGGTTTGAATTAAAATATTAAGAGATTATGGGATGCTTGTAAAAAAGCCAGCTACATCTTTCCATTTATTGATGTAAAAAAATGGCTTGAGGGTCAAGCAATGTATCAAATTTTTTATCCTTTACTAAAACATATACCTTATGCCAGTTACTTTAAATCATGAAGCCAAATACTATATACTAATGTAATTTAATCAAAATACCATATGATGAAGATGTAAATACAAATTTACTAAATGATAGCCTAATATTTTACTATAGACTATATGACTAGATTTAAAGATTTTGTTTTTTTAGCATCAAAAAATAGAGAAAAAGTCATGAAAGCATTTAAGAGTATATATGATAATTCTGATAAGCCTCTCAACTGGCTTTGAAAATTACAATATGATAAGGGTACTGAGTTTATGAGATACGTGACTTTATTAATGAATGAACATGATATTAAAATCTAAAGGATTATAATACGTTTCAGATAGAGGTCTGAATCAGTTAAAAATTTAATATTCGATTAATCAATCGTTCATAAAATTTATAATCAATTATATTCAAATTAATCGTTGATTAATGACAATTATTCAAATTATCCAGATCATCTGAATAACTGATTAGTTGAAAAAACTAAATCTTCAATACATTAATTAAAATAAAAAAATATATATTTTGAACTTATCTTTATTATCAACAATAATAACAAATTATATTTTACTAATTATTCCAACTATTATTTTTTGCTAATCACTATAATCAGATTAACATTTTCGTCAAATAGAGGTTAAAACTGGCCAAAATTCTTTAACCAGTTAAAAATATTCGTTAACTGGACTGGTTAAAATTAACTTATGCCAGTCCTATAAATTTGGCTGGAGTTAGTTAATATTTTGCAATCATAAAAATCTAAATTCTGGCCAAAAGTTAAATTTCGGCTGGAGTTAAATTCATCTATTTTAACCGGTAAAAAAATCATTAATCGGTTAACATGTTAATCGCCTTATCCAGTTCTAATCTCTATCGTCAAATGAATCTGAAACATCATCATTGTAATTTGCATTAAACTCATTTTGTAAAACAAAATTTAAACAAATAAATATGAAAAAAAAAATTTTTAAGTTGAATGTCTTTAATTAATTTATATATTGCATGCTTATTAAACAATAGATTCAAAATATTTGAATATCTGATTATCTGGTTATTCATTCATAGTTGGTGATAATCGATTAAATGACCAAATAACCAGTCAAAATTTTCGTCTAATCAATCATCATAATCAGTTGGTCATATCTGGATAATTTGACTACAGATCAAACGATTCAGACCTCTAGTTTCAGACATACAAGCTTGGCTATTTTTGACAATTATGCTGGACATTTTTCTAGAAAAGTTTTTAAAAATCAGTATTCAATAGAGTTTCTCCTGCCTACTGGTAAGCGCTATAGAGAATATAAGCAGTTTACAAGAAAAATTGTTGATAATATGAATGATAGCCTAACTCAATTGATTGGAATAAGTTCTAATAACGCTACAAAACTTGAATAAATATATTCCAAACTATCAATAAAATATAATTACCCTATAGGTATTGATGAATCACAACTACTAAAGGGTACTACTATCCGATTTTTATTTACTTCTGGAGAGTGAAAAATGATCCTTTCGAACAACGTAGAATAACAGATCCAATATAGTCTCCCAGTCTGCATAAGATCTGAAGAATTGTTGTTGGGAGAAACCCTCTAATGCCTATTTTATATTATTTAGATGATTCAGAACCTCAATGTCTCTTTGTAAGAGAACAATTAATGCATATTAAAGAAGAACCTATGTTACCTTCTAGGTGGGTATTGGAAGATAACCAAATGTGTATAAGACGCTTCTTATAAAGTTTCTAAGTCTATTACGCAGTAAGGTATAGTTATAATAATTATTCCTTCTTTGTAGCATAGCGCCCTCTTTTCCCAATCACGTCAGATTTATATGTCTAGATTCATCTGCCTTTACAGGTGAAAAAAGGGACAATTTAGTAATGTTGACTACCACTATATTCAAAGATTAAGCCTAATTCTTCATTATAACTATCTAGATGTAATCCCTCCAAGAATTTAGGTTTTTAGAGTGAAAATTTTTTATGTAATAAATCTTCGAAAATATACTGGTATATTCTTTCTAATACATTAGGATAAATTTTACACCATCTATAATTCTGTTTCATATTTTTATATGATACCTCCTATTGATGATCCTTTTTACATAATCATAAATATGTATTAAAATTAACTTTGCCTAAGTATTTTCCTTCAAGTCTCTGAGCATATGCTAAAGCTTTAGTATCAATTTTGTCTTGCATTTTATAGATATAATAAAATATTACATATAGAAATTTGTGGTAGTAATCACTAGCTTCAGACTAATTTGATCAGAAGAATCAATCTGAATATTGTAACAGGATTGGATTGACGAACGTGGCGCAGCATATTGCAGATCTAAATGTCAGACATATTTGATATATTTGATA